ATATATATTTGTTATTATATAAATAACAACAAAAAATATATTTTGCCTTGATACATTTTTTAAATATAATAATATATAACAGAAACTAAGTTCGAAAATCCAATTATGATATTTGCACGGCAAAATTGAAGCGTCAAAAGCTGGCATCGACATGATATCTTTACTTGGTTTAATCAATATTTTGCACTTGGAGATAACATCCTGATAGCAAAAACTATATAAGCGACATATCAATTAAGAAGAATATAGCACCACAGCACTAAAATCCAAAAAATATTTTTAAAATGAATAGGAATGTTTTATTTTTTATATGTTATATAAAAAAAAAGAACAAAGGAATCCTAAGTATTTTTGTTTTCAACAAAACACATTTCCAAAAATCCACACCATGAACACATTTATTGGATGTAATCAATCACAAATACATTAAAAATACAAATCAAATGTATAAGAATGGCATATTTACGTAAATATTTTGTTAAACTTAATGAGAATTATAAACAATTTTATTTCATTATGGAATATTTGTTCCTAAATATGAAATATAGTGATCAAATTAATTTAAAAAAAAATTTATTTATAATTCTCATTAAGTTCAATAAAGTACTTCAATAAATATATCATACTGATACCTTCGAATTGTATTTTTAATGTAATTATAATTAAATGCAATAAATGTTTGTATTCATTTCGTAGACTTTTGGAAGAAATATGTTTTTGTTGAAAACAAAAGAACTTGGGATTCATTATTTTTAATAACAGAAAAAAAATGAAACGATTGTATTCGGATAAAAAATTATTTTTTTGTTTTTAATGGTATGGTGCAATGTCCTTCTTAATTGATATGTTGATTAGATGGAGTATGTACGTTTTGCTATCAGCATAATATCTCAAAGTGCAAAATGTTGATCAACCCTGCAAAGATATCGTGGATCGGATTTTCCAGCTTAGTTTCTCTTATTTATTCTCATATTTAAAAAATGTATGTAGCTTATTAGTTCTAATCACGGTTGCCACTTGAAAATTTTTTTCTGTACCAAAATTGGTTTAAAAAGGTACCATTTCTGTAAAAAAAGGTCCAACATTTTTTTGGACCTTTTTATTTTTTCGTTCTGTGTTTTTCATAGTGTTGTAAATGAACAAAATATAAAATAGTGCAAAGTTGCATTTATAAAAAAAATTAATTGGAAATATCCACAATAAAGTTGGGTCGTCAAAAATGTACCATCTTTTGAACATGAGTACCAAACTAAAAAAAAAGTACCAATTTTGGTACTAAAGTACCATAAGTGGCAACCGTGGTTCTAATATCCAAATAAATTTAGTTAGCTTATGTATCACACAAAATTTCTTTGAGTTAAACTTGATTTGGGTATAAGAATTTTGAATTGAAATTTGGATCCATATTTTTGAGTCTGTTTGTTTAGTAAGAGTCTGTTCAGTTTGTGTTCAAATCAGAATAAAAAGACAGCAAAAAAAATTGTTGGTTAATTTATTAAAATTTGGCTCACCATACAACGTTGTTTCGAGTATTGCCAAATGCACATCAACAGAGGTGTTAGGAAATAATCGAATTATTTAATTAGTTTATAGTCTGTATATAATTTATTTGGACTGCAAGTGTCATATGTTTTAATAAAAAGGTTTTTATTTATCTATGTATAAAAAATTTTTATTTTTTAATAAAAATACTTTTATTATTATTTTTATAAAAAATGAATATTTTTAATAAAGTATTTTTATTTGTATTGTTTTAAATAAGATATATATTTTTATTTGTATTTTTATAAAAAATATATATTTTTATTTATATTTTTATAAAAAATATATATTTTTATTTATGTTTATATAAAAAAGTACATATTTTTATTTATATTTTTATAAAATATATATATTTTTTTAAAAAATATATATTTTTATTTATGTTTATATAAAAAAATACATATTTTTATTTATATTTTTATAAAAATATATATTTCGACAAAAAATATATATTTTTATTTATATTTCTATAAAAGATATATATTTTCCGAAAAATATGGGTTATAAATTTAGTCTCTGTAAAAACTTTAAAAACAGACTTTCTTGTAATGTATTGCTATAGATTGGGTCAGCTAAATGTGGCGATCGGACTATGTCAACGGAGCTCTATTGCTCCATTGCGTTACCGTTGCTTAACATGGGATTATTAGAAGTTGCAGTTTAGTTATTTTTTAATTAATTTTTCCGTCGTGTTCTTTGATTTATATAAATAAATTAAATGTACATAATGTAAATGTATATGTAATGTATAAATTTATGCAATAACCATTGCCACTAAATATAATTATTTATTAAAATAAAGTTTTAAAGCAAATGTTTAATTTTAGTTAAACTTTATAAATAAACACTTCTGTCATCCGGTTCTATTTTGTTAGAAAGCAAATAAATTTAACCTCAACAATCCTGCTAAAGAAAATAATAATAAATTTAAACATTTTTATTGCTCTCATGTTGTGTGTTTGTAGTCAGGAAATTTTTAGAAAATGTTTGTCGAGTTTGTTGAGAAAAAACTGCAGATACAAGCACTGTAAGTGGCAAATATCCCACAGCGCTGGAGACGCCATGTGGAAAATGAAATTGAAAAACTTTGGAAAATTCATTGAAAAACAAAATCATTTGTGAACGTACAAAGTTAAATAGGAACAAAAATAAAATAAATTTAATTTAATTCAAAAAATTCAAATTTTGAGGACCACTTAAAATTTATTAAATAAAACATGAAAAAAAAACTTATTTATTAAAATATGAGAAGAGGAAAATTAATAAACTACAGCTTGAAGTGTAAAAGTGTATGCGGGCAAAGTAGGATGGGTTAAGATTAAAGACTTTCCCAAGCATTGCTTAACGATAAGTTTCCTACACCGCACTGATAAGTGTTAAGTGCACTTATAATTCTACTATACTTAGGTTTTATTTCCCGCGCCTTAGAAACTATTAAACTTTTATCAAATTTGTGACATCGCCAATGTCATTAAGTGGCATTTTGACTTTAGCTCCTACGATAGAAGAGGTTCCCATTAATATAATACTAAAATTTAATGCATTCTAAAAGCAAACAGGCTGTTAACTCACAAGTATGATCAGTCATAAAAATTAAATTTATGTGCTTCTAATGTGATTTTTTTTCCTTATTGTTAATGAAAATCAAACTTAAACTTAATTTTAGTCGGTGCTTGACACGATAGACTTGAGAGATATGCTTTGTTTGAAGTACTCATAAAGTTTTTTTTTATTGATTTAAATGAATTTTCAAATTTTTATTGTTCAGACTGAAATTATCTTCTAATGAAGTTTTTATTGAATTTTAATAAAATTCATATAAATATTTATTATGTTTTATGACCGGCGCTGATAAGACACTGGGATTATATGTAAAATGCTATGTATAGTTTGCAGAAAGCTTCTTGGTCTCTCCAAAGTAATAATAATTTTTATATTTTTATATGCAAAACACTTGCCAAGTCCTAAAATGGCTTGTAAACTTCGATATTACAATTGGAGTGTGGAATATAAACTGCTGCTATAAAATTACTCCTTTATAGTTAAATTTACACTTCATATTGAAGAGTGAATTTCATTAAAAATTTAATATCTTTTTTTAATGTTCAATGTGAACATTATGGCCAAATAATCGTACCTTTATATACTGTATGTGCTGCAATATATATATTCCCTATATACATATATAGCTACATAATGTTATAAATACTGACTGCATTGGGTAGGAAGTTTTAAAATATCAATAAATGTAGTTAAACACAGTGTAAATGTAAAATTTTACGATTATTGCCTTTTAAGTGTAGAGAAGTGCATTTTAATAAGAATTTTAAGTGCCATCAAGTGCTGGTCAATTGGTCAAAACTAATAAAATTTGGCAACATAATGGTATGGAGTGTGCACTATGATATATTTGTGAGATATCTACTACTTTTGCTATGCTGAGTTTATATATATATATTCGTTAAAGAAATTTCCTTCTAAAATAAACTACAGAAATCATAAATTTTATGTGACATTCATAATTGAAAGCATATGAGCCCTCGTATGCATTTTAAGTATGTAAAATAATAGTACTTTTTGCTTGTATTAAACTTTAAGCAATTTTTATATATTTTATAGGTCATTAGGAACACCCCTCAAAAAAACCTACCCCTACAGCACATATAAAGTTACAATTGCTTAAATCTTTTTAGCAATTTGAGGCACGTGCTGTTATTATTTAAGTTTTATAGCCAAAAAAAAAATTATGTGTGTCAAAAGTTACTTTTTTTATATATAATATGACAGTGTTTTTTATTTTGATAAGTGACTGTATAACTATAACTTTCCCAGTAAAAAAAGCAACTGCGTTTTTGCCACTTACAGAGAACCCTAAAATTACTTTCAATTTTTTTTTGTTTTTCTTATAAATAATTCCCATGAACAGAAAGTATCTTGAAAATTATTTCGATAAGTTCATAAAATTGTCATTAAATCAGAAGTATTTATTTGGAAGATGTATAAAATTTCTTACAAAAAAAATGGTGCGGTTAAACTTTTTATTTTCAGTCAATTATTGAATAGAGCTAGGAAATCTTTAGAATTTATGACATAAAGCAGGGACTGTAACAGTTATCATTATAGAAATAAATATCAACATATAACTCTTTTCATTCGCAATTAAAAAAAAAACACAAAAAAATAATAATAATAATTATACAAAAAATAATAATAATATTTGTTTCATATTATATTTTTCAGAAATATTTATTAACGTGCCTTTTATCTTTCCACACAAAAAGAACTCTTACACTTTGCTTTTTATTTTAATAAGCAAAAATAACTATTATTTTTGCCTTAAAAATAAAAACATCAGGAAAAACAAAATATAACTCACACGACGTGCTTGATATATTTAAAAATGGCAAAATAAAACGCATTATGCATGTAAGGCAGTTGTTTTTGTAAGTTTATTCAAAATGTATGCAAAGGAAGATGCAGGTAAAGAGTAAATATCAGACCAATAAAAAATATGATATTGAAAACATGAAGTTCAAGAATAAAATGGCGAGAAAAGGTCTTAAATATAGTAATTCTATCTGCAGTAGAAAGTAGTAGACAAATACTTAAACGTGTATATTATTTAAGTTTTAAGTTTTAAGCTACAGATGAAATCAAAAGCGATTCAAGAGGTAGCAGATTTATTTAAGGTTCTTCAATATGGAGAACTATTACCAGTAAGTGAAGAGAAATTAATCTCTTTCTATGAAGTGTTTTTTTGGGAGGAGTTTTCGAAAGCAATATCAGAGCTTGGAAGGATATTAAAGATAGCTTACATCTAACTTAACTATGTACTGGCAAAGGCTATATATACTTCTACTTCAAAAAAGTTGAAGACCTCTCTAATATATTTTATGGCATTAAATTAAAAGGAAATTAATGCGAAGTACTAGAATATTCTTGGCAAAATAATTCTATTTTTTACATATAGTCTAGAATATAAAAATAAAGTGAAATAAATTTTTTATATTAAAATTTATTTAAAATATAGACAAACTGTGCATAACCACGTTAAGTTATTCTTTTTAAGATTAATTTTAAGATAAATTTCACGTGAAATCAATAATAATGTATTAAGAGTTTAGTAGAAATATTTTTTTACTATTCCGCAATTCTCTCAGTCAGTTGAAATATTTTATTATTGAATCCAATCCATTGAGCTGTGATTAATATGAGACCCAGTTTTAACATGTTCTTAGGTACAACCACTCTTTCATAAGCATTACCAAATCAGTTAGCTGAACAATAACGTATTCAGTAAAGTCTATTGTTGATGTTAGCTTAAGTAATTCTCTATAAGTATTCCAGAGCACTATTACATTTACGCCATCCTACTATACGTATGTATGCTAGCCTGGTCTGTGATTCGTTGCAGCGGTAGTTTAGCAGATATCCTTCCACTGTCCATTATTTGGGAGTTACAGACTTTTCACTACCACATTCGTTGCAAGAAATCTAAAGACATAAAAAGTTAACTAAATTCATACAGTTGAGTTAAAGAAATTTGACAGATCTGTCGACTCCACTTACTTAACTGAAAAGCTCTCTTACGTTCAATGTATGCCCTTCACGTGAAGTATCTATATATTGTGATAAGCACACATATTGTAGATTGTCCTTCCATTCTACATTGTCACTGTTGGCTCCTACAACAGTACCACATTGGGTTTTTGGAGGTACTGATATGCGATTTTAATCTGTCTTTTTTCGACGTTACTGTTCTCCAACTTTGGAAGTGTTCTCTTATGTCATCTCTGTGTTCTATTAAGTTGTTTGAAACATTGTTAGCATTTCTGTCTACGTATCACCTTTCTGTTAATATTATCCTTCATTTTAACTATAAAATTCTATTTATAGTTTTTGACATACTTTCTTAATTAAATATTCTTATTCCATTTTTTGTTTATTTGAAGTAAAATATTTTATAATTCCTCTCAATATTTTCAAACTCTCATCCTTCTGTGATGACTGATAACTAAAAACAACTTTGAACTTTTTTCTAACAACTCAATAAAATGTTTTTTCTCACGTATCTAAAGCTTTTGTAGTAAAGTAAATTAAATAAATATTTTTGTTTATTTAAGATTTTCGAAAATCATTTAAAACAATACATGTGAAGCTACAAATCTGTATGTAAGAAAAAATCGTTTAAAGTATTCATGGCACTCATTAAGATATCGAAGTAAGCAGCAACAAAGTAAACTGAACAGCACTTAGCAAATAAAAAAGTTTCATGAAAATGAAAATTTAAAATAGAAAATAGAAAAGCTACTGAAAAACTTAAAATAATAGAAAAATTTAAAAAAAAAAAATTTTTTTTAATAAATTTTTCTTCCTCTTCTTCTTCCACTTAAAACTGTTTAACTGTTGTTGCTGTTGTTAAACATGGCGCCAATAAAATCTCAAGCAGAAATGAAAAGCCCCCACAAGTGCCCAAATCTCTCAAAGCATCTAATAAAAATAAAGTTGCAGCGTGAACATGCAGCATTAGCGTTGTCAATCGACGATCTGATCGTGCTGCAGTGCACTTTGCCGGATACTGCATATTCCATGCAGCATAGACAGTACATACTGCGTGCAACATGTAGCTTATTAATCCGGTATAAGTGTACGTGCACTGCGGTGTTGACTCAGCACTTTAGCGCCTATTGGTGTGGTATGGTGCAGCGTGAATGCAACTGTAGTCTATGTTAAAATCCAGAAAAAATAAATTGAATTATTCTTGTCTTGGCAATGATATCACAAACGCACTGATCTGCTTGTGGGTTGTTAATGCTGTGTTCCGTTGCTTTGTTGCATTTTCCGCCAAGCAACAGTTGCCGAGTTGATTTTGTCTGAAGTTGAACCGTAGATCGAACACGTAGAGGTATACTCGTCCAATGTTAGGAAGAGGAGTAGTACTCTTCGTACAAGAGATTCTGTTAATAGCATTAAGTGCTTGTGCTGTGCTCTTGCATGTGGGTACCTAATAATAATCTGTCTTTATTATTTTTATTAGGTTGTGAAGATTCACTGCCTTTTTCATTTTTATATTGTCTCCGTGGTGGATTGCGTGGGCTTACCCAGAGAATCTCTTTAATGTTTGTGTTCATAATTTTTATTGTTTTAGGTATTTTATGTGGTATCAGAATTATTAGGAAAAATATTGTATGAAAGGCGTAAAATTGGCATTAATTTAACTAATTTGGTGTAAATTTTTTTAAGCTCGTTAATAAAGGCCGGTACATGGTTTAGAAGTATTTAAAATCGGAATATTTAATTCAACTGATGGATATAGTTTATTATTCAATTATTTCTATATGGTTTAAGGATTCTATATAGTATTATGTTTATATAAAAATCTTTTAATATTATAGTTTAAAGTTATTTAAAAGGTCAATGAACAAATGTTAGAGGTGAAAATGTGATTAGTTGTATGTAGACCCTGAAACAGATATTTATATTTTATTGTTTGAATGGCAAAAAATTTTTAATAAAAAATTTTTTTTTTTAAGAGGAGTTAATTAACAACAACAGTTAAATAATAAACTGTTTAAAAAATTTTTATTTGTTTTTAAAATATTATATTTTAATCGATATTTTGAATATAATCTATAGTCATCATCAGGACACTATGATGATTATAATAACCAATGAGCCTATAAAAAACAAAATTATTATTAAATGTTTATATTTATAAAATAATCTATAAAATATATCTATATGTATTTTATAATACATCTATGTATATATATAATATAGATATATATCTATATTATATGTATATTATATAGATATATATAATATAGTTATATATCTATATTATATCTATATATCCATATCTACATATCTATGAAAACAGAAAACAGTCATAATGCATTACTAGTGAACAAACATATGTGTTAATATAGTCCTGATGAGGAGGTTAGCTACAAAAGTGCACCCTGCACCCTCTTGGCTATGTGACAAGCTGAATATTTTTTATGCTCAAAAGCCTTCAATTCATATAATCCGTTATTGTGAAACAATTGACTGACTTTGGCTTTGTATATTATGTATATATATATAATTAGTTGACATTATAATTGTTCTTGATTAATAAACATGAGTAAAACAGAGATTTGAATTTTACATAAAAATTAATAATGATTCATGATTAATAAACATAAGTATAAAAGAGATTTAATTTTACATAAATAATTGGAGAGCAAAAAAGACAAATTTAATCCCGAAGCCCAAAATTGATTGATAAAGAACATACATTGTCAATTTTAGATCTAGAGGAAACTAATCCACAAAAAAAAAGAAACAATTTTCAAATTATTTTATTCTTGAATATATAGAATAGTCTCCTCTACATCATAACTCAAATAATATAATACTTTCCAAAGCATATTTTATAGTTATCGACTGTCATTGCCTTTAGTATGTCGGTCGAAGCGTTTGAGTTAACCCAAACGGTACCGAAACGATTTCGTTTTTTAATAATAGCCAAAGGTGTCAAGTACTTCAATCAGCTGATGACAGTTATAAATTGACAGGAAGCATCGCAATCAGCTGATGACGATAAGTGATTGACAGGACACATCTAAATAGGGTGATGACTATAAATTATTAAAAGGAATTCTAATTAGGTTAGAAGTTTTTGGGGAACCAGTTTCATTTACGACTATATGTGTATATTGACAATAGCTTAAAATGCTCAATTATTACTCCTATCCAAATATAAAGTAATATTTTTGTGTGCCATTATGATGGTAAGTGGAGAAGTTTACATCTGTGCAACCCCAACGTTAGGATTATAATTTGGAATAATTTGTGTATTAAATACTATATCAAATTTTGGATTAAAAAGATAATTTCACTGTAATCATTTTGATATTTCTATTTTTATTATTAATAGCTTTTCTTTTTCGTGTTGCATGCCAGCAATAAATTTGTTAAAATGTCATTACGACCAGCTGTAATTATTCGTACCTAGTCCCAGATAAATACATTAGAGTTTTCCAGGCATCGGTACGCAGCAGGCGATTTTTATTGCATGCGATTAATTTTGATCAAAACACTTTTAACAATATTTTTCGAAGTGTGGGAACGAAACGCCGAGTGTGTAGATTTCATTTGCAATTGCAAATTTTATTATTATTACTTTTTTATTATCTTTTTTTTTTGTTTTTTTTCGAAAATTTTCAACATTTGCTACAATTTGTTGGAATCAATTTTTGAAGAAACGGAAATCTTGTTGAGACAGCATGTGGTCTGCCAATGAAGTCCGATGTGCCTTTTTACAATGTAAACAAATTTTGATATAAACAATTAAATTGAGTTTTAATATTTATGTGAATTGCTTGTTCAAGACAATAATTGAAAGTCATCACCTCACGACTTACACGATCTCAAAGGCAAAGTTGAAAATTATTGAGGCAAGAAACTCAAAAAAAATATTTCTCTTGTTTACATTT